TTCTGTCTTTTTTAAAGACAAAAATTTTTGAGGCGAAATACCCAAAAAGAAGTTTGTAAAAAATGAATCCGCCTCAACAATATAGAACTTATCTAAAACTAGAGTCGCTCCAATGAAAACCACAACTATTCCTAGATTGGAATTGTGCGCAGCATTTCTTCTTGCGGAACTTTATCAAAGGGTCATTGGGTATTTAAACATTTCTTTTGATAAAAGTTTCTTCTGGAGTGATTCAACCATTGTGTTGTCGTGGATAAGATCTCAATCGCACGAATTTAAAACATTTGTTGAGAACAGAATCGCTCAAATTCAGTCGATAACAGATCCAAAGGATTGGAACTATGTACCTAGTAAAGAAAATCCCGCAGACCTATTATCTAGAGGGGTTAGCCCTGGTTAGTAGTACTTTATGGTGGAATGGTTCTACGTGGTTGATCCAGCCAGTTGATTTTTGGCCTGAAGCACTTCCTCATCTAGAAGCAAATAACTTGCCGGAAAAACGTAAGACAAAGGTCGTTAATATGGCGACGGCAATCAGCAACTCAGACATTTTTGAGATGTTCTCAACTTTAACTAAGTTGCAAAGAGCTGTCGGATATGTGAAACGTTTCCTTAATAATTGCAGATTAAAGACTTCCTTAAGACAATTTGGTCCGTTTCAAGTGACAAGGTGTTAAGGTCAAGTCTACTTTAGTTGGTGAGATGCGCACAGCATGATGCGAGGGTATGTTTACTTACTTAAAAATAAGGCGATTTCTAGCAAAAGTAAATTGCTAAGTTTTTTTTAGATACACAGGGCATTATTCGCGTTGGTGGTAGATTGACCCACTCCGCATTTTCTGAGAAAAGGAAGTTTCCGGCAATTCTCCTGGCTAAACATAGATTAACACTACTAATCATCAAACATGAACATCACCGTTTGCTTCATGCTGGTCCTCAGCACCTCCTAGCGTCACTAAGAGAGCGGTTTTGGCCACTTTCTGGTCGAAATCTAGTAAGAAAGGTTGTCAGGGAATGTTTGCGATGTTTCAGATTCAATTCTTCACAAATTGAATATCTAATGGGCAGCTTACCAAAGGAACGTTTAACTCCCAGTCGACCATTCCTTGTCACCGGAGGGGACTACATGGGTCCTGTAATGATAAAGGATAGGTCAACCAGGAACTACAAGATGGTAAAGGCCTGGGTATGCTTATTAATTTGTTTCTCAACTCGGGCAATGCATCTAGAATTTGTTGGTGATTTGGCTGCCTTACGACGTTTTTTTCTCGAGACGTGGCCTTAGTTCCGATATATTTTCTGAACATGGTACTAATTTTATTGGGGCTCAAAACGAGATCCAAAAAATGTTAAGAATAAATCATAGTGACATTCAATCCAAACTCAGTATAGACGGTATCAGGTGGCATTTTATTCCTCCCAGGGCTCCGCATTTTGGAGGACTCTGGGAGGCAGGGGTTAAATCAACTAAACATCATCTGAAGAGGGTAATTTCTGGTAATATTTTATCATTTGAAGAATTGTGTACGGTACTAACGCAAATTGAAGCTTGTCTTAACTCTAGACCTGTAAGTCCCATGAGTTCTGATTCCTCCGACCCTCAACCATTAACTCCTGCGCACTTCTTCATAGGGGAGCGGCTTACAAATTTGCCAGATAACGACTATTGCCAAATCCCAGAAAATAGACTCTCAAAATTCCAAAGACTGTAGCAGATCACTCAAGGCTTTTGGGCTCGCTGGTTTAAGGAATATGTTGTTGAACTTCAACAACGAACAAAATGGAAAGGGAATGCAGTCAACTTATTATCTCCTGGATCCCTAGTGCCGATAAAGGAAGATGGACTACCTCCACTTAAATGGATGATGGGAGTTGTTCAAGAGGTGCACCCTGGTGCCGATGGGGTAATACGTACAGCCACTATCAAGACAGCATCGTCCACTCTAAAGCGCCCAGTCATCAAGCTCCATTGCCACCGGCGGATGTTTGAACCCTTTTGGCTTTCAAGGCGGGCGGTATGTTCGCGCCTCCCAAGTTTTGATAGACGTAAAGTGACAAGAGAAAAATTTTGAGCGCATGTAACAGATAATCGCTAAAATATTGTAATATGAAAAACTTGTAATACAATCAAAATAAAAAAGCAAATCAAAAAACCTCAGGGTTTTATAACCCAAAATACAATTTTAATTCTACAAAAATAACTTTTTATTTGCGGAAGAGACATTTCTACAATAAAACTCATGGAATCTACTTAAGCATTTATAAGCTGTTTAAAATGGTGTAAATTTTTCTGTAAACGATCATAAAGTCTATTTTCCTCCCTAACATTTCGGAAAACTTGATGATGATGACCCGGGATTGACCTGAACTTTGCTGCAATTCACCTTTTAAGATCATCAATATCAGCAGGGTGTGTTTTATACACAATGAATTTAACATGTCCCCATATGAACAAAAACATGAACAAAAAATTTAACTCCATTTAGTGGCTGCTCAAATTTAGAGGAACAATAGTAAGTTTAAATACAATCTTGATCTGGACGACCTACAGCCTGAAGAGAGCTGGATAACAAGAAAGCTGAAAATGTCGGACGGATCCTGGCAGCTGGAATTTGCTAATAACGATTCGTTTGGCAAAAAAAATTGGAAAGAGAAATACATTTGGAAAAACACAGCAACATCTAAATAACTAGGGCGGAGCACTCTTTGCGTGCTAATCGCTAGACCTTCAGAAAGCCGTTAACAAGTTCCCTCGACCTTTAGGCATTGTGATCTGGATTCTGGGCTAAATTTACGTTTGAAGGCAGCAAAAGATTCATTTACAGCAAAAAAAGTAATAATTGACGGCCTAATAATCCAAGGTGTGTTCACATCATCATTATGTAATATATTTTGTGATCAGAATTTTGAATGTAAATTAGACTAGTATATATCTTTATTAAGGGATTAATTACGGATCAATAATAAAAATGCAACAATAAAAAACAACAAAAAAACAACGAAAAATGCAATAATACATGATTTATTCAACAAAATACAAAAGGAACAGAAAAATTCAAGCGAAAACCTAGTATTATCGAATGGGAGTCTGCTTCAACTAATCCACGTTCAAGCCTGATGCACTTTTCAATGCGTTTGCGATTGTTACTGGCAACTCTCATAAGTTCAGCTACATTTATTTCACCGCAGGCTTGCCTTATCTTATCTCTCACAGAGTTCTTTCTGAGTTTGAGGCCTTACTTTGTAAACGTTATTCTTGATAGTACCCCAGAATTAGAAATCTATTGGCGTAAGGTCAGGAGAGCGAGGAGGCCACTCTTCAAAAGGGCTATTTCTGACAATCCATTTGAATGGAAAGTATCGATTTAGCCAATCCCGGTCCAACCGGAAGTTTATGCACCGTCTAGGTGAAAAAGCATTTCTTGGCGCACAATAGGCCGATCTTCGATAATATTCCATAATTCATTATTAAGAAAATCATCATTTTAGGTAGTGTAGTAGAAAAACGGACCAATTATTCTGTCACCTAAAATTCTACACCACACGTTAACTTTTTGTGATTATTGGCTTTTGCAGTTAATAACCCGAAGAAGATTTTCTGTAGACCAGTATCTGCAGTTTAGGAAAGCGACGGAATTGGGACACAGTGCGATCTTCAGAAAGCTGAAGACAGTAGAACCCATGGGATTGAAAGCTAATCGAATCAAAACTCTAAGCATTTCGGTACCTTTCACAATATATGTTCTAGATGAGGGGGAGATGGTGGAGCGACTCCATCAGCTATCACAGGAGACTCCGTATGGTACACGGATAGCACAAAAACAGCGTCGGGCACAGGCGCTGATATAGTCGAAAGAGGAAAAACTGGGGAAAGGATTACTTTAAACCAGGGTACAATCACGGCCGCCTTCCAAGCAAGTATTCTAGAAATAACAAATTGCGCCCGCAAAATGAGGGAAAGAGCATATATACGTAAGCACATTACCATTGTAACCGGAGATGAAGCCAAGTAAAACTCATTTGGGCAATTGAAACAAACAGGAGCAAAGGAAACGACAGGGGCCTAGCGACCACTGACCTTCTAAGAACCTGCTTGTGACATATCTCATTCCTAAGTTTAGGCGGCAGTTTACTTACTGCAAGGCAGTTGGTGAGACCTCCACAACCAGTGCGTAAAAGTGAACCGGTAGATCTCGGCAGGCAAAAATAAGGAGGATAGTGGCCTTTTTAACAGGACACGCCCCCTGTAAAAACACCTCTTCAGAATCTGACTGAGCGATCAACCGACCTGTAGGGGGTGCGAATTATAGGACGAAACTACCCTACATATCATATGTCATTTCAAGTCATATGCAACAGGTAGAGGAAGACTCCTGGAAGGGGTCGAAATTCTACCAGACCAGGTCATGCGTACCCCCCTCAAGATTCTTCTGGAATTCATTGAATACACAGGGATAATGAGGGAGTAAAATACGAGGGTACAATAGCACAGAAATGCCCGCGGTTCTAGGCCAAACGCCACCTGGGCGGTGAGGAAAAGGTTTTAGTCGGTAAACAGCTTAGCCAGAGTCCCACACGAGCGACAGATAACCAGCTCTGGGTGTGCGTAACAGAGCATTTCCAAAACCTCACCAAAAAAAAAAAACAAAAAAAAATCTGCAGTTTTGAGAAGATACTATTCCATTCGTGGTGAATACAGCCTCATGCGTAAACATAATTTTTCTTACAAAAGTTCTATCATTTAAAAACTTTATTTGGGCCCAAAAGCAATATTCTAAGCGTTTCAAGTCATCACCTTCCCTCAACATGTGCAGAAATTTTGGTTTGAACGCCTTTATTTTATTTACAATTAATTTTTATTACAATTCAACAGCCCTCAGACGTAAACTAATTTGAGGATTCGTACAAATTGAAGCTATGATGGATCATCATTATGTGTTTGATTCAGAAGTTGAGCGTGAAGCGCACTTCGAATTTGAGCGAAGCGCAAATTCACCCCTGCTGCAGTTTTATGTCTAATAGGATTTCTCTGTGGATGTCTCACACTGAATTATTCCGCAACTTGTCTGCTACTTCGAATTCCACCACTAAATAATCTAATTACTTCAATTTTCGCCCTGAAACTGAGATGTTCAATAGGCATTTTGTCAGCGCACTGATGCAATTAATGTCAAATTGACAACCATTAGAGCCGGCTACTTTGTTTCCATGGCTCTCTGGAAAATACTTGCAGAAAAATTCGGACTTGGAAACTTAAAACTTTGACTTTTTTTGAAAAAAATGGCGAAATTTGACATTCCACTTGAAATTCGGTATTGACCGTTAACATAACATTCTGAATAAAATGTTGTGGTTGATTATTGACCGTGATAATAATCAGTAATTAATTTTTCAATAGTGGGATTTTCAGTCAACGGATGGTGGCAAAATAAAACACTACTTTTTCATGGGCCAACGTTTCGACTTTATTCAAGTCATCCTCAGGGCTCTAAAATGGAAAACAGAGGGGGTTTTAGCCTAGAGCCTGGTGGAGTTTCAACACTTAGTGTGTGACATTGTTATACAATACGAAAATAAAAATTAAAAAAAAACTTAAAACTCAACTTCACAACAGATTAAAAATTAAAACACGATGAGTTTTGACTGCCTGATCGTTTTATTTTATGTAATTTTTAACTCTCTTGAGACGGGACTGACCATGATTGACTTATTTAGACCAATGTGAATTTTAATGAAATTTTTTAGTATTTTAACTGGATAGTCTGATGGTCGTGGTTTTATTTTTAATCTGTTGTGAAGTTGAGTTTTAAGTTTTTTTTTATTTTTAAATTCGTATTGTATAACAATGTCACACACTAAGTGTTGAAACTCCACCAGGCTCTAGGCTAAAAACCCCTCTGTTTTCCATTTTAGAGCCCTGAGGATGACTTGAATAAAGTCGAAACGTTGACCCACGAAAAAGTAGTGTTTTATTTTACCACCATCCGTTGACCGAAAATCCCTCTATAGAAAAATAATCAACATCGACAGACATCTTGTCCACGACAAACCCATAAACAATAATGGGGAAGATTTATCTGACATTTGACTTGCGTTATCGCATTCATCCACAGAATATTTTCCTACAGTGGGTTATTTCATGATTTAATCTGTAGCTCTTTATCGTCTGTAGCGCCTCTGGCGACTATGAAATCAGTCGTTCTCGGTTAGGTTTTAAAGTGAGAGTGCCCAGGGCATGGGTATGCTTTTTTTGGGAAATTTCTAAAGGACTCCGGTCCTGTGATTAGACGTCTTATCTGCGCCCCGTTTCTGGCGCATTTGCTTATCACTTGAAAACGGCGCGGGCAACGTGCCAGCGTTAGCTGCCTGCCGTCGGTAGAGCGTCGGTGCGGTCGTAATGTAACTCAGATTTTAGTGGGCGCCGGTTTCGCGTCGCAAGCTCGTTTGTTTTCCTCTGCAGCGTCTAACATGCCCTGATGGACTGAATGAATGGTCACTAAATTGTTTATTAAAACAACCCATGATAGCTTCATTCGATTGATAAAAACTATTTGAACCGATAAACTTTTGGTTGGTTGAGTTGCGGTGGTAGCATTGTTGGTATCATGTTGCATTTGTTCAAATTCAGCAGGAAAGTGAGTGGACATTTGGAAACGAAAGTCAATTGCGAACTCATTTCAGTTGTGCATTTTCATTAACCTGGATGACAGAAGGATTAAGCTTCTTAATCTGGCAAAATTCTAGGTAATTTGACAACGGCTACTTATATAAAACTTGTTGGTCCAAGTTTTTCATAGCTCAGGTGATTTAGTACATATGTTTGTAGCTTAAATGCATGTTTCTACACTATCCCCCGTAAGTACATCCCATATCATCATAATGTCCACTGTTATCGTTACTACACGATAAAACAACAATAAGGTAACTCACGTTCATAAACTTGGATGATTTATAATGCCATTTAAAGTAAACACCTATTGAGTAAAATCGTACAGTACACAAAAGTATTTCAACTGCATCAAATAGCAGCTTATCAAAAATGTATATGTTGTTTATTGTTTATCAGCAGCATAGGTATCAGTGGTTTCTTTGCTAGAGCGATACTGACCTATGT